TCTCCTGATCTCTGCCTACTGAGTAGCTAGGATTACAGATGTGAGCCACCAGTGCCCGGCCAGATTGTGCATTTCTGAAAAGTTCCCAGGTGCTGCTGCTGCTGCTAGTCTGGCTGTGAGAACCACTGGCCTACACAGTGGGCCTTGAACAAGAGACCACAGGGGAGAAACTCAGGCCCAACAGGAAAATATAGAAAATTTTGTCCTTCATCAGGGACTTCTTGCACATTTACTCAGGTGCCTGCATTTTTTTTTCTTTTCAAATGAGGACTTTGTGACTTGACAGTTTCTACTTGTGGAACTAGTTGAGTTGGATATTTACTATCAGATATTAGAGTAAGTAAACATTGCTATACACTATATAAAAAGGAAGATATAATGGGTGTTCTGACTGCCTCAAAAGGGTGGTCCTCAAAACCTGCTCTGTCCTGTATCTGTATCAGTGATTAATATTTAGACCAAAGGCACTGTAAGCAAATTTGCCACTAGAGCCTAGCTGGGCTTTGTTCTGTCCTGCCAATCCACGGCCCTCCCCACCTACAAGCTGTTTTCAGAACTCTGTATTAAAACACTAAGAGTAATTGCTAAGACATCATATATTAATATAAATCAATTCCAAAATTAATTACCTAATGATAACCTCTAATATTAAATTAGTATGGTTATAATTATTGAAAAACAACATGAGAAAATTTTACCACAACCACAAGAAAACCAACGCTGATCTTTGGAGCAATCTTAACTTTTCATCCTCTGCCACTTACTCATGGCCTGTTGGCTGAATCACTCTCTCTGTACAGTACAATGAGAAGGAATTAAGGCAGTGAAGGTGTTAAGGTAGAATGTGCTGAACTGGTATACTGATTATTTTAAGTTGCAGTTACTTGAGGAACTGTAACTTCAAAAATGACTATCTGATCTGTCTTTCCCTACATAAACCAAGCTATAAAGATTCTTTTGGAGGTGGGCTGGGATGTAGCTCAGCTGTAGAGCACTTGCCTAGTACACTCTAGACCCTGGATTTGATCTCAAGCACTGGAAAAAAAAGAGATTTTTTTTTTTGTGGCGGGGAAGATGTTCTTCACATACCAAGACTAGAAAGTAGCCTTGATCACTAAGAAATGTGAACTGCAGTGAACTTGAACAAATTTTCTGAGTCACCCTTATCTTCCATGACCTTCTACATCCCTCTGCACCTGCATATCCCTAAGTAACATCCTTAGAATTTACTGCCCTAGTCCACAGATCCATCTATCCTATTGTTTCTTTACAGAGTTGTCTAAAAAGTACAAAAGCATAGTGCTTCAGTCATTCCTTCAGACTTCACTCTCTTTCGAAGATCCCCGTGCATGTGTAAAATTAGTAAAACTTTCGTGCTCTTCTCTCATTAATCACCTCTTGTATTAATTGGGTTGCTAGATCCAGCCAAAAAAGCCACCATAAAAACTAAGGGCATAGAGCTCTTGTTACTGACAATAGGCGTTCCTGTGGAAGATAAAGAACCCCTATTGTTCCCTTAGCAAGACTTAGTTACTGTCAGTGAACTTCATTATTTCGCTGGTGCTAATACTCAATGTAACATTTCTGAAGTCCTGATGCATTACAATGGTGGTGTTTTAGGAACACAGTGGGCAGCTGGTGGGCCGTGATGTGGTATCACTGCCTGCACACACACATTCTGCAATTCTTGGTGGGGCAACTCGGCAATGTAATCTCCCGGTTTCTCCCAACAAATATGTAAGAACCATTCTGGAATAGAAGTAATGCTGCCTGTTGTCTGAAAACCTTCTATTACACCTTCAGGTAAGATCAAGTAAGTCCCAGCATCAAATGGTGTAGAGTAAGTGTCAGTAGTTTGCAAAAAAGAAATGGTAGTGTCATATTGTTAAGAAATACTGCTTTTCGAAGCATGTGGTAACTAAGGACTTGGAGGATAATTCTAGGAGTTGAAAAATGATTCAGAAAAATAGATTCTTCTGAATGTGAAGAAATCATTAGAATCCTTTTTTGTGTGTTTTTAAAAAAATTGTTTGTACATGTCTTCATATTGTTCAGGCCATCTCTCCCCTCGCCCCCCCACCGCGTGATTTTTTTTTTCAATTTTTTAATATTTATTTTTCTTTTTGCATATGCACGAGAGTGATGTCTGATAACAAGCATTTGTTTACATCTAAAAGCACTCATCCAATAAATATTTTCAAATTCAAAATGATGGAAAAGCATTACAAATAGATCATTTGGGAATAGCTTTCTTTTAAACACTGGCTCTCAATCTTATGGACTGAGGTCTCCTTTTACATTTCTTTTTCTTTTTTTTTGTTTTTAGTACAGGAGTTTGAACTCAGGACCTGTAGGTGCTCTGCCACTTGAGCCACACCTCCAGCCCTTTTTTCCTGTAGTTAGTTTTCGAGGTAGGATCTCAAGTTTTTTGCCCTGGGTCAGCATCCTCCTGATCTCCACCTCCTGACTAGCTGGGATTATAAGTGTGAGTCACAGTGCCCTGCCCTTTTTCTTTCCTTTCCTTTCTTCCTTCCTTCCTTCCTTCAGCAGGGTCTTTCTATGAAATCCACCAGCCTCCATCTTCCTGAGTTCTGAGATTACAAGCATGAGCTTGTAGTTACACATCTATGTAACTATCTAAATTTTCTGCGGGAGGAATAAAGGAAAATGATGGTAGGGGTGAATTCAAGTATGGTTTATCTGATATATTGTAAGAACTTTTGTAAATGTATCCCCAGCATAGCAATAAAAAAAAGGAAAATCAAATTTAAAAAATATATTTCTACCATATTAGAAACTTAAAAGGAGATTTTTTTTTTTTTGGTGGGACTGGGGTTTGAGCTCAGGGCTTTGTGCTTTGCAAAGCTCTACCCCTTGAGCCACACCTCCAGTCCATTTTTGCTTTGGCTATTTTTGGAGATGGGGTCTCTCAAACTATTTGCCCTGGCTGGCCTTAAGACTTGATCCTCTGGATCTCAGCCTCCCAAGCAGTTAGGGTTATAGGTGTGCTACGCTACCCCTTGAGCCACACCTCCAGTCCATTTTTGCTTTGGCTATTTTTGGAGATGGGGTCTCTCAAACTATTTGCCCTGGCTGGCCTTAAGACTTGATCCTCTGGATCTCAGCCTCCCAAGCAGTTAGGGTTATAGGTGTGAGCCACAGGTGCCCAGCCTAAACTGAGACTTTTAATACCAAACACACATTCCATTTGGTGTCATATCACACATCACAAGGTAGCCTCTGGAAAATTACAATGTACATGGGTAAGAGAATGAGTATGAAAAAGGCAAATAACAGTACAGGGTAAACAGGAAGAGTTTTGACCATGTGAATTCCCTGAAAGAGAGGACCATACTTTGAGAATCACTGGCATATAAAATAATGGTGTGCTTTGTACCATTACAACTGATGAATATATTTTTACCTAAACTACTGGAAGTTGTAGAATTTTGGCTACATGGAAAATTCTATTGTTGGACAGAGCAGTTGGTGTTCATTGTGAGACAATGAGAATTTGATGCACTTTTCTTTTGTGGTGTAGGAAATTACACCCTCCTACCTACCCCCCCCCCTTTCCTGTTAGTTCACACTGGCTATTCCTGCAAGTCTGGGTAATTTGAAATCTAGAAGAAGGTACTAGTATCTTTTCCTCCTTGAGTTCCAGGAGGCAGTGGAACTGGCTGTCTAGGCAGAAGAAGGGATAGAATTTGGGACAAAGATGAAAGGAATGGTTTGGCCTCTGGGGGACAGAGCTGAATGTTCCTAGACATAGGAGGCAGAGCTTGCAATTTCTGCCAGTGATGGAGATCAGAAAAGACTTGAAAGTGGCTGTGTGGAAATTTGTGGAAGACAGATTCTTGGTGCAGAGGGCACTGGAGCTCCAGCCAGGGTTCCATGGGTTCAGTCATGCCCAGAGAGAAGGCAGACTCTCCGAGCTGTGGCCCATTAGGATACCATGCAGTCCTGAGCCAGGAAATAATGACAATTACTATGAATTGCTATGCAGGGCCTCTTCTGCCACGGTCCTTACCTGGAACTTCCCAAGAGAGGAGGCAAGGAGCTGCCACCAAAAAGAAAAAAAAAAAAGAGGTTGGCTTTTTCCATGGATCTTGGGAAGCAGTTGGCTTTCATTTAGAAACTATAGAATCCTCACAGAAGCAAAGGAGTTATGAGCAGATCCGAGGTTATCTTGCTTGAATTTGGCTGGAATGGGGTTGCTCAAAGAACACACTTGACAGCAATCCCTGCGGGGTACACTAAATAATTGACACATGGAATTTCTTCAAAGTTTCATTATCTCTTGCACCTTGGGTGTCCTGAAGATGCCATACCTGTGCCACACTGCATCCTCTGTGGGTTGGGATGGCTGAAGTTTGGCCCTATGCCTAAACCCCTGTTCAAAGACTAAGATTAAAGCCTAACGCTGCAGCCTAGGGGAGGAAGGGCAGGCACGCACTCAGAACTGCAAAGTGCCCCCTCGGGGAGTGGGTGGCCCAGGCTGCGTGGGAGGGTCACCGAGCTGGTCTCTACAGCTTGGAAGGGCCTTATGTTCCGGGACTGTAGCGAACCATGTCAAGCAAAACCCGTCCGGGCTTCAGGAAAACCGGGGACATTTCTTAGGCGTGAACACTTGGCGTCTCACGCACGGAGAAGTCAAATCGGTGCAAGCTCCCTTTGAGTCCAAACGGTCCTCCTGGGTTTCTCCTTAATTTAACTTTTCTCGGGAGGGCTCTGGCGTTCTTTACACAGTCTAAGTGGCGTCTGCTAGTCTGAGCCAGAGGCGAGCGTGGGCAGGACAGGCCATCAAAGCCTTTGCCACCACCAGCGAGGAGCAAAAGAGCAAGAGTCAGGAGACCCGCTCTCCCGCAGCCTCGCTGACCCCTCCTCCCGGGTGGTGGGCGTGGCCGACTCGCTCCCGCGGGGCTTCCCCAGGGGGCGGGGCCAGGGGCGGGGCTTTGGAGCGCTCACGTCCAGCGGGCGGAGCGCCCGGCGGCGGGCGGGGGAGGTGCCACATCCGGCGGCTGCTCCGCACAGCATAAAGCCGAGGCCGCCGCGGCTGGCCTCCCGCAGCAGCGTCTCTCGGAGTGCAGAGGCTGTTCCAATGCCCCAGAGCGACCATGGGCGCCCCGCACTGGTGGGACCAGCTGCGGGCTGGCAGCTCGGAAGTGGACTGGTGCGAGGACAACTACACCATCGTGCCGGCCATCGCCGAGTTCTACAACACGGTGCGGGTCGCGGGAGCGGGGATGGCAGGTGGGCGGGTGGGAGGGAGCTGTCCCCGTGCGCCGCAGTCAGCGCCTGGGAGCTGGACCGGGGTCTCTGCGTGTATCTGGGGCATTCTCACTCCAGGGTCAGAGGCGACCCACGCCCCCTCCTGCGCGCTCCTTCCACTTCTCTACCTGTGCTCCTGTCCTGTCCCTAGTCCGACGGACACCTCTTGTCATTTCCTTCTGATGGCTCTATTGTCTTTTTTTGTTCTACCGTCCGGGAGCCAGGGGTCCTTGTCAACCCATTCTTCCAGCATGGGTCAGTTGGGGTCAGGATCTTCCCCTAGGATCTCTGTGGCGTGACGCACTTTGGGTCGCATTGTGCGGTTTTGCCCTGAATACCTGGTTTGCGAGCACTGGGAAAAGGGAAACCCCCCCCCCCCACCCCAGCGCAAGTCTCAGGGGCTGGGCTCACTCGCACCACGCCCCCGGAATATGGCAATCCCGGTCGAGTTATTTTTGTCCAGAATCAGGTTAATTGCTACAAGTTCTTTTTCTTCTTCTTTTTTCCCTTGCTTTTTTAGTATCCATTCTTGGGTCAGCCGCAAATTCAACTCCTTCAGTCCTGTGAGGTGGAAGGGAAGTTTGGGAGTGATAACTTTTTGACTTGCCGCGGTCCCTAGTTATGGGCAACCAAAAACTTCTCCTGCAGAATCTTTGTGGGAGGGGAGGGTTGTCCCCAAGAGAGGAAATACCTCTGCTTTTCCCTGTGCTCGTGCCTTAGAACTCTGATACTGGGTGTAAGACTGCATGGTCATTTCTCTGGCTTATCATTTCACTGCTCAAACACAGAAAACAGGAACTCCTGGTTTGAGTCATTGTGAATTTGAAGTTGTTATTTAGGATTTTTCCTCTTGGATTTGCGGAAAAGAATGTCCTTGGCAGGATTCAGGTGCTTATTGCCTGGAGGGATGCTGGGCCCTGTCTTTCCTATGATGAGAACTAGACTGTTGAAGAGGGAGCTGTCACACCCACATTCTGGGATGGCTGGGCCACAATTCAAAAATCTTCACTCTCCCTTTTCTGGGTGCTGAAATTCATGGCTGCTTTCCACACCTGCTGCTTCTTTTTTTAATGACCAGGTTAGTTACTCAACAAAACCAGACCCTCTGTCATCCAGAGGTACTAGGAAAGATTTAATTAGTGGACGTGGCCACACTTCCCCTACCCTACAGCTGGCTGTTATCAGGTGTAGACAGGTGCTCACAGAGGACCACTGGAGCAGGACCGGGCACTTTCAATGAGAAACACCAGTGACAACTGAGTGTCTCTATAACTGGAGTATATTGTGAAATACTGAAGATTTCACCATATTGGTGACATATTGGTGACAGGTTCTTACATAGTCAACATAGTAGTTACCTGTGGAGTCTGAGGCCTGCAGAGTGTTAGGCCTGTGATTTAGGTTCCAAAAGTTAACGTGTAGCTGTTTGGAGTCTGCATTGAGAAGCTCCAGCGTGCTGGTTGAGAGGGAGAGTTGATATTGTCTTTCCTTATTTTCTTGAGATGGGGGTCTTTTGAAATGTTGTCTAGGCTGAACTTGAACTGGAGGTTCCCCTGCCTCAGATTCCTGAGTAGCTGGGATTACCGGTGTACACCACCATGCCTGGGTGCTTGTCTGTGCCTTAAATCTAATCCTATTGGAGCTATTGTGTAGTGAGTGCTAAGATCATTTTTAGAAATGAACTGCCTTTGAAGAAAGGCAGTGCCTGTGGCTGATTAGACCAGCCAGTCCACCTGACAAGCCTTATTCTTTGGAATATTCATAAATCAAATTTTTTCTCTGGCAACGTGGAGAAGTAGTTTGTCATCTAACTGTTGTGTGTAGGTCCAAAGAATTGAGCAGAAACTATTTCCTCCTCCCAGTTCCCATAAATCTGCTTATCTGCTGATGTTTATTGTAGAACATCTCTGAGCTTCTCTCACTCTTATATTGAGGAAGCCAGTGAACTTGGTGATAAACATTGCTTTAAGTCCTCTAATAAGGCAGTAGGTCTAATTATCCATTTTGTAAGAAAGTGATCAGTACCAATTTTGAGAAAAAGTTGAAGGAATTAAGAAAGTTAAAGGAATTGATGCTAAATGAGAAGACTGGGAGAGGGATCTAGAAGTTTTTTTTTGTTCAGTGCTGAGGTTCAAATCCAGGGCTTTGCACTTGCTACCCTTGAGCCACACCCCAGCGTAGAACCTTCTTAATGGGCCTCAGGGGTGGCACATCACTATGACAACTTCAATTACCACTGGCTACCATTAGTTGTTTGCTGTGTGGAAGCTCTGCTGGGTATTCTATCCTTACCCTAGGAAGGGGGTGCTATTTATGTATTCACTTGATAGGAGAAACATCAGAACACCAGGGCCTATTTAGTTTATGTAACTTACTGAGGTCAAAAAAATGACAGAGCTGGAGTTAGAACTTGGTCGTTTTGACTAATTTTGAAGAGGTAAGTGCCACTGTAAGTACACTTAAATCTAAGGATTCATTTATTTGGCATATTATATGTATTTAATGTTCAGTCATTCCTTAACTTAAAACTCCTATATTGGGACCATGTTATATAAAGAATAAAACCCATGATTTTTTTTTTTTTTTTAATAGTTCTAAGGTTTGAACTTGGGGCCTATTCTTGAGACACTTTACCAGCCCTTTTGTGTGAAGGGTTTCTTCGAAATAGGGTCTCTTGAACTATTTGCCTGAGCTGGCTTTGAACCGTGATCCTGCTGATCTTTGTTATTATCGTTTAATGTAAAAGTAATAACCATGGTGAAAAAAAATTCAGAGTGTAGAAGTTATAAAATAACAAATACCCTCTGTTGTTTATCTTTCTGGACAGTAAGAAGCACATGTATTTACTTGCACATATAAAATATGTATGTATAATTGCAAACACACACCCAAAAATTGTTTTCAACTCAGTTGAGATCACACTACACTAACCCTTCCATACCTTGCTTTTTCCACTTAATATGTCGTGAAGCTGGTCCCATATTGGCTTATGTAGAACTGTCTTCCTCTTTGCAATGTCTGTGTACTCTTTTTAATGGATTGACCATATTTTATTTAAAGAACCAATTCCTTATTGATGACCATTTATGGTAGCTTCTGTTTCTGTTTATTATTTTCTTTCTTTTTATTTTTTGGTGGCACTGGGGTTTGAACTCAGGGCCTCACACTTGCTAGGCAAGTGTTCTTACTGCTTGAGCCACTCCACCAGCCCTCATTTTGTTTTTTGAAGAGCAATGCAGTAAGTATCTCAACCATGCCTCTGGATGTACTTTTATAAGTACTCATTCTAGCTAGGAAATTGCTGTGTTGAGGAGAAAATTCACTTTAAATGCTAATAGTCACTGAAAAATAATTTTCAGAGTACACTGATTTCACTCCCACTGACAGTGTCTGGCTCTTGCCTAAGATCTTGTCATCATCCTTTACTTCAACCAAACCCAATTTTCTCTTCCAAGAACATATCATTTCCTTTCACAGCCTTTTACTTGTACACTTTCTGTACTGTGTCTTCTGTGTACAGGTCATATTGGGTTGAGTTCCTTTTTATGTTTTAAGCTTTAAAGTCTCAATCACACAAACCAAGTCAATTTGGAGAAAAGTGGAGTCTGCCTTTTAACCACTGGGCTTGACCTTTTGGGGGCTCAGGAGATGGAAAGAAAAATAACTAGTGTTTAACAAAAAAGTCATGAAACAAAATACATGTATAAAACCAGCTCATGATCTCTTACACGCCCCCCCCCATCATCAATTTAAGGAAAGGAGAGCTCTCTCTATATGCCAAAATGTGTGCCCCGCTAGTCATGGGTAGATCCGTCTGCCTGTTTGTCTGTCTAAGTATTTATGACTGTGTGCCTCTCATAGAGACCAGATCTGGAAATAGTCACTTGGGTGGTGTATACAAGCTGCTAGAAGTGTTATCATTCTGCATGGGGTTGGTATACTGTGGGGTTCGGGTGGGGTGTGGGGGTTTGCAAGAAGGCTTCTGAGCAGGGTGACTATATTTGTCCTGGGTTTTTACGTGAGACTTTCTTGATTTTAAAACTGAAAGTCCCATGCCCTAGGGCCCACCCTGAGTCCTGGACAAACTAGAACAGTCGGTCATCCCAGAGGTGGGAGAGAACAGTGGAAAGTAGAGCCAGGGATCAAGGCACAATGAAGATGTACAGACAGTCCACTGAGCCAAGGTAAAAATCCTTAGCTGTTAATGAGCCCCCTGCTCAGAAGTTTCCAGTTCATGGTTTTGTCAGTATTGGCCCTCCTTCTGGGAAAGTGCACATTCAGATGCAGCAGGATGATGTTTCAGTGTGTTCTTTGGACTATTTTGGAGCAAGTGTTGCATAGGAATTCATAGAATGAAGACCTTTTAGAGGAAACAATTAATGCATTTTGAAATTGTGGTTTCCTTTCAATTAAAAAAAAAAAATCTGGGGGCCTGCAGTGGTGCGGTGAGCGGGCTGCAGGATGGGACATGGCTGACGGGCCTTGCCTTTGACTTGGTACTCTTCCTTGGGTGGAGCAGAAGCTGCTCCAGCTGGTTTCTCGGGAGAAACAATTGCAACACTTCTTGAGGTAACCAACTTGAAGTATCCAGAATCTGATGACCAGATCATGATTTGCACAGGCAAAGCAGGAGTTACAAAGGCTGTAAGACTACTTCTTTCTTCAGTGACAAAGGTGTTGTGTTGGCAAACCAAGTAGTCACGAAGCAGATAATAATGTCAAGAAATAAGGTACTTGGGGCTGGCAGAGTGGCTTAAGTGATGGAGTGCCTGCCTAGTAAGCATAAGGCCCTCAGTTCAAATCCTAGTTCTTCCAAAAAAAAAAAAGGAAGAAAGAAAGAAAGAAGGTTCTTGCAACTATGCAAAGACTAGAGAAAGTGAATAGCTTTCTAGAATCTGTCCAAATATTCAGTCAGTTGACAAATGAAGTGGTAGAGTTTGTACAGCTAGCTGGAGATAGAAAAAAAATGATTCAAAAGTGACAGCAGCTAGCGAAGTTCTTCAAAAAGATACAGTGATGATGCTTTTCACAGCTTCCAAGATGTTTCAGGCATCCTTGCTGTGAATCATCCCAGAAAAACAAGGAGCATTTGACTGAATGAAAGTGGCAGTGGATAAAGTCTTTGATTGTGATGGACTGTAAACCAAAGGGCAAGACTGACACTTCATCTATCAGTAGTTTTTACTGGAATTAAAGAATTCACCATGAATGTTGAAGCTTTTCAGGAGAATCCTTATTTTTCAGTCTAAAAAGAACCTCTTCATGACATTGGATGTCAACTGGGAGCATACAGAGAGCTTCAGTAATTCTGCCTACTGCAACTATGGACACCAGGAACGTATCTTGGAGCTGTCAACTCAGGCCAGAATAGAACAATAGCAGTTCATTTCTTGTGGATTCAGGTTCAAAGCAAGAAAACAAAAAAGCATCGCTGGAAAACTGGAACTCACTAGTTTGAGAATCAGTCACAGTCTCAATGAACTTAAGAAAGAACTAGATAAAACAGCAATGCAGCTGGCAGCAGATCTGTTGGTGATCACATGGTTTAAAAAGCATTAAAACTTACTGGAGTAGAAGGAAATTTAGAAGCTTTGGCTGAAATGCTTGTAAACTCTGAACAGAAAGAACAGCTTGCTGAGAACTGTTGATGGTTATGACATGTGTCTGGGATAGAACATCTAGAAATAACCAGTGTACATGCAAAGGAGACATTTCAGGTGACTGGCCAACAGATAATTTCTTTGGCTCAAACACTGACATCTCATATGTCTAGTAAAATTGTTAAAACCTAGAGGCATTTTGTGTACCTTGGGAATCTCACATTAGGGATATGCTAACACTGGTGAGAGAAACCAATCATGTGTTTGAAAGAAGAGGAAGAGAGATATAGCTGCCTTTCACTTTCAAAGACAATGAAAAATAATGCAAACCTGACACCGTGAAAGCCAGACAAGCCTGGTTCTGAGGAGCAAGTCACAACAGCAAAGCTCAGACATCGGCTGGGGCCTCTCACCTCTGATGCCAGCTCTGAAATTGGGAAGTAAGAGCATTGAGCACTCAGGATGGATGGAACATGTCCTGGATGACATGTGCTTACTTCAAGTGTACATGGTTTTTAAAAGATGTGTGTGTGTGTGTGTGTGTGAGAGAGAGAGAGCTGGGGTTTGAACTTAGGGCTTTACACTTGCTAGGCAGGCTCTCTACTCTTGAGCTACACCTCCAGCCCAAGTGTACAAGTTTTTTCGAAACATTTGGAATATGATGACTATCTTATGCTTCTCCTAGAGATAAACAAACTTATTCCTCTATGCTGCCAGCTCCAGGTAATAACTAAGACTTTTTTTTTTTCCTTTTTGGTGCTAGGATTGAACTCAGGGCTGGTAATTGCTAGGCAAGCACTTTACCCCCAGGACATCTTCGTAGAATAAAGTGTTTGTAAAGATTAATGGGCTGGTGGAGTGGCTCAAGTGGTAGAGTGCCTGCCTACAAGTGTGAGGCTCTGAGTTCAAACTCCAGTGCTGCCAAAAAAAAAAACCAAAAAACAACCAAAATGATTAACAGGTATATCACCAAGACATGACCCACGATGGCTCTCTTGGTGAACTTCTTTCACTTTGCTGTGAACTGCAAAGTTCACAGTTGCAAAGAAAGACACTGGGGTTTGGAGATTTAGCTCAGTGAGAGTGCCTTCCTGGCAAGTGCAAAAGTGCAAGACCCTGAGTTCAGTCCTCAGCACTGGTGGGGTGGTGGGGTGGGGGGGGTAGCAAATAAAGACAATGAAAGAGCTTGAAAAGCTTTTGGGCTGGATCACTGGAATACCATATGGCAAATCTGACTTTTTTTTGGCAATACTGGAATTTGAACTCAGGGCCTCATGCTTATTAGGCTGGCACTCTACCACCTGTGCCATGCCCTCACCCTAAAGCTGACACTTTAAAAAAACAAATGATCCTTTACATTTTGAGAAATTTAACAGTTTTACAAAGAAGACAGTACTGAAATCTTGATTCTAATCTTCACATTGTAAAACTTTCTGACAACTAATAAATGCCATGGTAGTTGCTGGAATTTCCTTGGTATGCCTTTCTCTTTTTGTCTTAAGAAACATTTCCTTTAATTCGAGATTGTCTTTTCACTTGTTATACACGTGAAATTTACACTGGACTTCAAGGCCTTGGTATGAACAAAAGAGTGTAAAATATCTCATTAATACTATCTTATTTATCTATTTTTTGAGTTGCCCAGGCTGGTCTTGAATTTACGAACTTCTGACATCCCTTGACATTTTAGACAGGTGCCACTTTGTGTGGCTAATGATATTTTAATAGTGAGTACATGTTCAATCAACAATTTGAATATATTGCATTAAATAAAATATTATTAAATGTTTTTAAGAAACTGAAGGCATAACGGAGAGGCTTAAGTCCATATAAAATGTAAGATAAAATGATCTCATTTTAAAGCTGTGAAGAACCTTACACATTTGATCTTCACTTAAGAATAGTTTTGATTGGAATGAACAAACTAACAGAGAAGGCTGTGTTTTGCAATTTTAAAGGTGGAAGAGCTTGCTGGGTGTTGATGACTCACGCCTGTAATCCTAGCTATTGAGGAGGCAGAGATCAGGAGGATCAAGTTTTGAAGCCAGCTCAGGCAAATAGTTCAAGAGACCCTATCTTTGAGAAAACCCAACACAAAAATACAGGGCTGATGGAGTGGCTTAAGGTGTAGGCCCTGAGTTCAAACCCCAGTAAAGCAAAACAAACAAAAAGTGCAAGAGCTTAAGCAAGATGCATGGTCCCATTCACCCCAATTTGCAGAGGCCACACTTGGAACAAGCTGCTCTATGTTTGCCCTTTTACTCCATACTCATCTTTTCATTTTGCACGTCTTCCCTGCAGATCAGCAACGTCTTGTTTTTCATTTTACCGCCCATCTGCATGTGCCTATTTCGTCAGTATGCGACATGCTTCAACAGTGGCATCTACTTAATATGGACCCTTTTAGTCGTAGTGGGTAAGTGGATTTGTGTGGGAACACAGCCTGAAAGAGAGGAAATGGGATTTTGCACGTTTCCTGTCCCCTTTGAACATGTTTTGTAAACCAAAGTCACTCTGACGTCTTAGTAATCGTTCCTCTGATGCCAGAAGAAGGACTCTTTTGAACTCAGGCTTGATAACAAGGCGGCCTATAACTATCACATAACTGCATTTGAGACTGTGTTTGGGGGACAGCCATTGGTGTTGTGCCAGTGCACTTTTTGAGACTGTGCAGAAAGTCATGTGAAACAATTGAACTCCGGTAAGACATGATTTCTAATGGACTTAAATAAAAAAAAATATTTAGACATTTAGTCCCTCATTGTTCTGTGAAGTATTTGTGTAATTTCCATATCCTCTCCCAGGCAGTTTGGGAATTCTTAACAATGGGATAATGTTGACTTTTATTTATTGCCTGTTCTCATGAAGGCTCAATGGATGATGACAAAGAGTGCTTCACTGTGGAATCATGACAGCTCTGATAGGCTAATATTTGGGGCCCACTTGGAATCCTCTTTCTAGCCTTAAGGTCTGCGTGCTTGAGTGGTGTGAGTTTCTTTCTTCAGTGTCTTTTTTCAGAGAGATGGAATGATCTGGTGGTTCTGATAGCAGGTGGTGAAGGGCTTTCCTTAAGCAGTGAATTGAATTTGTGAGTCATTTCTTCTGTGGTGACCTTTATTTTTATTGGTTGTAATTGATTCTAGGAATCGGATCTGTCTACTTCCATGCAACCCTTAGTTTCCTGGGTCAGATGCTTGATGAACTTGCAATCCTTTGGGTTCTGATGTGTGCACTGGCTATGTGGTTTCCTAGAAGATATCTACCAAAGATCTTTCGGAATGACAGGTAAGCTTTTGCTAAACACTTTGGCACCTACTGCTAGGTGTGGTACCCCAGAGAACATGTACATCAAGAAAAACAGCACATGACTCAGCTCAGTGATGAACTTACTGTATACCTGTTTAATGTCCACCAATTTTTATGATCTGACAATATGATTAAACTGACAGATAAAAGAAGAAAGTTTAATAATGCTTGAGGAAGAATTTATGCAATGTTAGGAACAAAAAGCCTCCTTGGGGGAGGAATTTCCGGATGGTAGTTCAAAGACCTTTGATTTCCTATTAGAATTATTTCCTTGAGTATAATCCAGTTCCACTGTTTTTATACATGTGAAGTAGAATCCACACTGACTCTTCATTCTTGGCACCACAGAGCTATTTTTTAGTTCTTTTAGATTGTATCTTTTTTTTTTTTTTGCCTCTGATCTCTCTCTCTCTCTCTCTCTCTCTCTCTCTCTCTCTCTCTCTCTCTGTCTCTCTCTCTTACTCACTTACTCGCTCACTTGTATGTATTTCCAAGCAGGAAAGCCAGAATTTGAGGAGGAAATACATTTCAATAAACTTCAAGTTATTGTAGTTTATAGTTACTCAGTAAATGTTTTTGAACACTGATTTTGTCCTATGCCTTTTTCTAAACACTGAGGTATAGCAGTAAACAGAACAGCAGGGTTTCTCTAGTGAGCTCCTTCTAAAGTCGGAGAGATTGCAAATAAACCAATAATGCAGTGTTGGAGTGTGATAAGGGTGTGTTGAAAACAAAGCTGGTAAGGGCCTAGCAGTAACTTGGGGTGTTGATTTAGAGTTTGGTGAGAGAAACCCTTTTGAAGAGCTCTGTGAGGTCTGTTGCTGTCTGAAGGCTCAGAAGAAGTCAGCCTAATAAAGATGAGAAATGTCCCCCAAAACTCATTACTCACATATTTCTCTGCTGGACACTGTTTTATCAAAATATGTACAGAATATAGATAAATGGTTTAAAAATATGGATACAATGAAGCAAACATGAAAAGAATTCATGACAGTGTTTCTAGTACTTTGAAAAGGAGGGAGAACTATGCACTCCTAGAGACCCAGGCAGGGCTGGGGACATGGCTCAGGTGGGAGAACAGTTGCCTAGCAAGTGTGAGGCCGTGAGTTCAACCCCCAGTACTGCAAAACAAAAAAAGACGAAAGCTGTTCTCATGGGCCTGAGGTGGAGGAGTGTCTGAAAAAAAAAAAAAAAAACTAGCTGCAAAAAAAATACTAGCTGCAAAGAGCACATGGTAGAATTGTGTATGTGTGTGATGTACTAGTTTTAGAATTAATGACCTCAACTCTTTTTGAATGTGTTTGTACGTGCACAAACTTGCCTGGGAGGATGAGGACACCAACCTGCTGCCATTGACTTTTAAAAAATTGTTTTGGTGGCATTGGGGTTTGAACTCAGGGCCTCATGCAGGCACTCTACTACTTGAGCTGCTCTGCCAGCCCCACTTCTCTCTTTAATCTGAACTGGTTGAGGCTTTTCTTTTTTTTTTTTTTCCACAAGGAGCATATGTTAATTTTGTTTTTAATATGAAAATGTTATGTTTAAATGAGGTAGGGAGAAAACAGACTTTTCATAGATTAACTATACAGTCTTTGTACTATTTGGTTAAATAGTTTTATCTCTGAGTTTCACCTGTCAAATATAAATTCCCCTAAGAAAGTTATTTGTCAAAAAACAAGAATGAGACAAGTTCATGGTTCTCTGTCTTGCCGAGGCCTTTTAAGTAGCAGAAGAAGTATGCTTTAGTTTTTCTTTTTTTGTGCTGGGGACTGAAACCAGGGACTTGTACATGCTGTGTGTGTGCTGTACTGCTGAGCTACACCCCTAGCCTCAGAAAGTAAGCTTTGAAATGTGGCCAGATTGCTTTGGGGCATCTGCAGTTTCTAGTCTTGCTCTTTGGTATCCTGCTCAGCTTTGGGAGAAGGCTAGGTAGAGGTGGAGAGCATGATGTAGTGTCCTGAGGTAGTTTTGCAGGCAGGGACTTTTTGACTCTGTCTGAAAATCAAACCATTTGGCTTTTGGCTTTTCCTGCCATCTTGCCATGGGCCAACCAGTCACCTCTGTCCTTTCTCTGAGCCTGGTGTGTGTTAAGTTGAGAGCTAAGGAATCACTTTCCCTTAGAACTCCTCTTTCAAGTCCTTGGATCCAAGTGAGAAAGTGAAGCAAAGGGAATAAAGCCTTATTTATTTGTTTGTGGCCTTCTGGAGGCCTGGTTTGAAATTCTTAGTGACAGATTTTATTGTGTTAATTATAGAAAACCTTTTCCCTTTCTTGTTTCTTGGAAGTAGGAGTGGGAGAATGTTGTCATGATATATTTTTAGACTATCCATATTCTGTATATATTTTGATAAAGCAGTGTTCTACAGAGAAATATGTGAATAATGCATTCTGGGACAGTTCTTCTTCATTTACCAACCTTAATGATGAAAAATATTTGAGAAGGAGATGTCTGAGACTTTTCTGTCACTAGCACCCTGCAGCATTTCCCTGGGCAAGATGTGAAGATTGACTGCTTTGTCCTCAGTGTGGGGAGAGTCCTTGAAGACCACCTTGCTCTGGAGCCTGGGATTGAATTCTAGCTTTACACAGAGCTTATCCACTGTATCACTCTATCTCACCTGTAAACTTGGGTAAATAATAATACTCACCCCAGGGTTATTCGAGATGATTCTGCAGAGCACTTAGCACTGTACTAAAGCACCATGGTCAGTTCTCAGTCAGTTAGCTCTCATTGCTACCAATGGCTCAGAGAGAAGAGTTCTGCTTAGGATTTCAAATTGAGGGAGAGAATGGGCATTGAGAATTTTAATGAGCAAAGAAAAAATGCTACATGTTAAGGGAAAAGTAATAAGAATCTCACCCTGTCTGTCCTTCAATTTTCTAGTGATGGGGAAGGTAAGAAGTGAAACCTCCTTGTGTGGGTTTCATATGACATGGGATGGTTGGCAGTTCTGTGATGCAAGCAGCTCGTTAGATTTAAGAATTCATATCAATACCAGGCTTTCTGTAGATCAAGGATTGTCTGATGAGGCTGCCTGAACTTACTAGATGTTAACATTTATCTCACACCTGCATTTATTTTATTTTATTTTATTTTGGTGATCTAGACTTCTTTAGAATATTACTAACACATATTAAGAGTAGTTCCAGTGTGAGGTTTGTGGCAAAGAGAAAGTAGAATAAGTAGGGTGGCTAACTGAGTTGGATCAGACAGACTTTGAATCACAATCCACTTTTTTTTTTCAAAAGCTCTGGGACTTCCATTGCTTATATGTATGGTAGAAATAATGAAAATAGCTACCTTGTGGGATCAGAAATAAATGAGAGTGGTGTTGGGGGTTATAGCTCAGTGGTAAAGTGCTTACCTAGCATGTGGGATGCCTGACTTTGATACCCAGCACTTCTGGGGGGTGAGGGAGGGGACAAGGGAGAAAGAGAGAGAGAGAGAGAGAGAGAGAGAGGAGAGAGAGAGATAGTATGGTGCTTCATACAGAATAAGGACTCATTGGTGCTAGAAGTTATCATGAACAGCTAAGCTAGACAAGTGTGTAGAAGATAAGGATATCTAGTTCAGTAGAGAAATTATTAATTTCATTATGTCACTAGGGTATGACTGGTGGGTTAAAAAAAAAGACTTCCTTTTGTGTTGCTTCGAATGGCCTAGGAATCTTCAGGACATACACTCAGCTATTGATGATCATTAATAATTTTTAGATGTTTTTGTTTTGAGATGTATGGTTATAGGCCAATTGCATTTACTTCCTAAATCATTTATTCTGATGTGTTTCTACAAAATCTAAGGATGGCCCTCACTTTAAAACCCACTTCAGGGCTGGTAGAATGGATCAGATGGTAGAATACTTGCCTAGCAAGCTCAAGGCCCTGACTTCAAACCTCAGTACCACCCCCAAAATAATAGTAATAATAAAAAGACCAACTTCATGTTTTGAATCTCGAATGCAAGGAAGCAGCTGGGATGCACACATCCTAGTACACTTGCTGGGTGATATAGGGCCAATATCTAAAATTCTCTGGGCCTTCGTTCCTCATTTATAAAACAACTGGTTGGACTAACCTGTGAGCTGTCTCCAGGCACCAAGTGTGTGAACACCAAGGGCTGGCTGTTCTGATGGGTTATGTTCTGGTCCTAACATGTAGTTTAAAGTAGTGAATCCTAACCAGGGACATTTCCGTCTGTTTAGGGCCATCTGGGAAGTTTGTGGGCATGTTCTTGGTGGTCACAAGGATAGCAGATTTTATCATCCACAAATTCCATTTCATTTCAGCAGAGTAAAGGTACACTGCCAATTATGTCTAAAAAAGGGGACACACTCGGCTGGCAGAGCGGCTCAAGTGGTAGAACACCTGCCCAGCAAGCATGAGGCCTTGGGTTCAAACCCCACTGCTACCAAAAACAAAAACATAAAAACAAAACAAAATAAAAAGCCATAATAGAAGGGGCACAGTAGGGCCTGACAAAGGTTGAAAACCCCTCCATTTTTTTTGTTTGTTTTGGAAACCCCTGCTTTATAGGGGTTCACTGTGGAGCTATTACAGTTCTGACAGGCTAATATTTGGGACCTACTTGAAATCATCTTCCTAGCCTTGAGGTGCTTGGGTGGGGTGAGTTTCTTTTTTCAGTGTCTTTTTTCAGAGAGATGGAATGATCTGGTGGTTCTGATAGCAGCTGGAGCAGGGTTTATTACTAGAATATTATTATAATGACATTGGGTTACTAGATTTTGGTTGGAGAATATGGGAAGAAGGGCTACTAAGGGTTCCCTGACGTGTGTTCCAGCGTGAGACCATATTGGCTAGAAAGTTGAAAACAGGACCAGAGAGTGTGGGAGGGGTTGCCTGTCATCAAAATTTAGAAAACACCCTGTCAGGGCCCCTAATTCCTGGAAATTTCTAGCTTTCTTGTACCATGGGCATGCTGTGCTGGTTGGCTTTCTGCTGGTCGGGTGACCTCTGTTTACTTCTGCTGGTTGCAGAGTTATGTGTTCACAGGATGTCCTTGTCGGCCAGCACATTCCTCCACGCCCTCTGGATCCAGTGTGCAGGTGCCTGTGCGTGTGGGTGTGGTGGGGTGATTGTGGATAGGTTCCTAAAAGCAAGCATGTGCCTTTCAACTACTTGGCAGTGCCATATGGACCCTTTGGGGACTGCAACACCAGCTCAGTATGATTGTCCCTGAGACTATGACAGTGCCAGTCATAATATTATCACTAAGATAGTATTTGCTCTCAAAACCATGGTACAGAAGATTGTAATAATAGATTTTATTAGCATATAACATGTGGCAGGCACTGTGTGAAGTGCACTAATGTTCACAAGAATGTCATGGGTGCTGGTGCTTTATGAAGAGTGACATTATTGCCAAAGGTCCCGCTGTTACTAAAGAGTGGGGACAAGATTCGAACACACATCTGACCACCCAAAACTCTTGTGCTTTTAATCATTCTAGCTGTCTTTCTAACCTAGCCTGAATCCTAAATCAGGGGGTATAAGGAAGTAATAGGTGTTGGAAATTTCTGATTATATGTTTATCCAATGGAAAAATAAATACGTAAAATATTTTTTTAAAAAAGAAAAGAGGGCTGGTGGAGTGGCTCGAGCAGTAAGAGCACCTGCCCAACAAGTGTGAGACTCTTAAGTTCAAACCCCAGTGCCACCAAAAAAGAAAATAACTAAATAAATAAAGGAAAAAAGTTTAGAATGTAGTCTAAAGAGACAAAAAGGTGAAACGTGCGCAGAAAACGAATGGACAAAGGGGTTTGGTGGGAAGGTGAAGAAATACATGTAAATGACATTAAAGAAAGAAAGGAGAGAGAATGGAGTAGCAACAAACCGCCCAAAAGGCCTAAGAGCCTTGCCATGTCAGAGCCTTAGACCCAGTGACAGAGTTGTTGTGGGTCCCCAGGGCTGCGCGTCGTGGCCATGGGTTGTCACTGTCAGGCTGCAGCAGGCAGAAGCTGAGGAAAGCGGCCAAGGCTAGGAGGCAATTCTTTCTCCTGGGGATTTGCGGCCTGGATCCTTTCCTGTTATCCTTTTTCCTCTGCTGGAAGTTCATAGCTCCAGTGCCTGCTCATTCCAGTCAGAAAGCTGGCAGCTCGATAATGATTTCCTGTGCCTTAATGATAAATAACATTCCTATTTAAGAGACAAATTTGTATTTTGAAGGTTCAGTGCCCTTTGATTTCTTTATAATAGGATTTCATTCAAATTAGTTTCCTAACAGTGACCTGTTCCAGGGCTCATGGCCAAAGCAAATCCTGCAAATGAGGAATAACAGAAACTTCAGGAAAATCATGTGCTCCTCGATTGAAGTCAAGGATGAGGCCTTAGAGATCTAGCCCAGGCTTTTTCTCTTTATAGATTGGAAAATGGAGTCCCCAGGAGAGAAGGAGTGTGTCCAGGCTCACGTCGCCACTCTGGCACTTTCTACTGAAATGACCTCCACTGAAGAGTGTGAGCAGAGTGGCAGTGATTTTTCAGAAATTTGTCAAGACAAATTCTAGTGCTTGATAGAATTGTAAGTTATCAGTAGATATTGATACTATTAGAATTTTTTCACAAAACTTCTAGTTTTGTGTGCTGGACAGATAGGACATTTTTTTCTTTTGAACTAGAAAGTCTTATACTTTATTAATGGTCTCTGCTTTTTTCTTTTTTCCTTTTTTTTTTTTGGTAGCACGGGGTTTGAACTCAGGGTCTCACGCCTACTAGGCAGGTATTTTATCATTTGAGCCATTCTGTTAGGTCTTTTTTGTGTTGGGTTTTTTTGAGATCGGGTCTCTCGAACTATTTGCTCAGGCTGGCTTTGAACCAGAATCCTTCTGATGTCTGTCTCTTTAGTAACTAGGATTACAGGCACCTGGGCCTCTGCTTTTCTTATATTTAAAAGAACAGTCATGTGTGTTCACCTGGTGGAGCCGGGGTTGGCAGACTATGTGCCGTGGACCTGATGGGTCCTGTTTTTGCACGTCGTTTTATTGGTACACAATACCCATTCATTCATTTATCTTCTACCATGGTGGAGATGAGTAGCCATGGTCCAGAAACCTTAGACTCCCAGCACCTAAAGTACTATCTGACCGTTTGCAGAAAGTGTTTGTCAGACCCTGCTGTTGTTCATCTGAAAAAATACAGAAAATACAGGGAGGCGATTATCACTATCTCACCCCCACAAACTTAGGTTGGCTCAGGTTTTGCCATCCTCATGGTGGAATATTTTGAAACTCTCTGATTCTTTCCTAAGAGCAGATTCCTACAAGCAGAACTTCTGGGCCAGGGGGTGTGACTCTTTAGACTCTTGGTGTTAGTGCACGAATAGCAGTCGATACAGTAAGCAAACAAGCAAGCTTTCATAACGGATTCGCTTTTGCTCCCACTGCTTCAGGGGTAGGTTCAAGGCAGTGGTCTGCGTCCTGTCTGCAGTCACGACATGCCTGGCATTTGTCAAGCCCGCCATCAACAACATCTCTTTGATGACCCTGGGGGTTCCATGCACTGCGCTGCTCATCGCGGAGCTGAAGAGGTGGGTGCCATCATTCCTGTCACCCATCAGGCTTGTCCCTGTGATGGGAGCACTCAGCTCTGGGCCCCTGCTGCCCTCCAGCTTGTGTGAGTGACAGATTGGAACAGGTTTGGTTCATGTGTGGCTGACTCACTTTCAGAAGAAGCTGCTGTTTAGTGGATCTTGGGGAACAAAAGCTACTCATCAGGAATATCTCAGTGCCTTCACCCAGCTCTACACTAACTTCTGTAGAAAGGAGAATAGATTATTTGTCCATGCGATGGGAATAAGGAGAATAGAGAAGTCCTAAGGAGGCCGTTCCTGCAGAGGAAGGAGAGGAGGGGTCAGGGAAAATCAGTTTCTCCACATAAGGAAACGGAAACTTTCTGCAGACTGTTGATGGGGACACTTTCTCTGAGGCTCAGTGTCGCCAAGAGCTTTGTTTACTAGCGGAAGCATTTTCCTTTGAGGAGTTGTATACCCAGAGTTCAGGCTGACACCCAGAAACGTCTTCCATTCACAACTGTCTTCCAGCCACTCCTGAAATACACATAAGCACTGCCCTTATTTTAATATTTAACATTTGAGTTATTCTCCCAGTCACTTCAAGAATGCATTTTAACCATGCTTTCCTCATTGTTATGACATTGTCTCTCTCTCTCTCTCTCTCTCTCTCTCTCTCTCTCTTTTCTTTTCTCAGCACTGGGGTTTGAACTCAAGACCTCACACTTCTACGCAGGTACTCTACCACTTGAGCACTCCACAAACACTTATTGGTGATGGGTTTTTTGAGACAGGGTCAATTTACCAGGGCTGGCTTTGAACCATGTCCTTGATCTCTGCCTCGTGGGTAGTCAGGAATACAGGTGTGAAAGGTTTATGTTTTTTTTTGAAACAAACTCAGGCTGGCCTTGAACTCTCTCTACATAGCCCCAGGCTGGCCTCTAACTTGCAATCTTCCTGCTCTGCCTCCCAAGGACTGGGATTACAAGCATGTACCACCACACCTAGCAAGTATATTAATTCATTTCAGCCTTAATCTGTTTCCCTTGGTGTGATAGCTGCTCTGTGTCATGTGTTAAGTCAGTTTTCCCTCTTCCTTATTTACAGAGGAGATATACATTTATTTCCAATTGATTTGCTTTCCAGGGTTGTTTTGATCATCAGCAGTCACAGTCAAGGTCAGAGGTGGCTGGAGAGGTTTTTCAACTTACTGCCTGGCAGCTGAAGGATGTTGTCAGGTCTCCTTCAGTTGGCTTTTCTGAGTAGCCTTTAAGGACAGGGGCTGTTTTATAAACAGGCAAAAGTTAGTCCTAGAAGAATAACTATGACAGTGAGTCCTGTGAGCAGAAAACCAGATAACCGAGTAAATAACAAAGTGTTCAGTCCGTAGTCTCTATTTTTTTTTTTTTGTGGTACTGGAGTTTGAACTCAGGGCCTTACACCTGCTAGACAGGTGCTCTACCACTTGGCCACTCCACCAGTCCTTTTTGCTTTAGGTTATTATTCAGATAAGGGCTCACATTTTTGTTCAGGACAGCTTCAGACTATGTTACTCCTACCTATACTGTCTTTGTAGCTGGGATTATAGACATGAACCACCACACTAGGCTTGTTTATTGAGATGAGAATCTCGTTAACTTTTTTTGTGGGCTGGCCTTGAACCTCCATCCTTCTGATCTCTGTCTCCTGCATAGCTGGGATTACAGGCATGAGCCACTGTGCCTGGCTTCTAGGCAGGCACTCTACCACTTGAGCCACATCCCAGCCCATGCCTGGTTTCTAAGGACTGTAAAACAAAACAAAACAAAACAAAACAAAACATGTGAGGGGTCTTGGGTTTGATTCAGCACCAATAAATAAGTACATTTCACTTTCTACTTCTTTACATATGGCATAAGCTTTGTTACTCACTTGCTGTACAGTGCTTATTGCATCTTTACTGAGTGCCTGCGGTTTTCCAGGAGACTCCCAGGAATCAGGCAGGAAGTGCATTTGCAAGTTCAGTGTTTTTGATTTGGGAAGTCTAGGATGGGAGTGTGGGTACCAGTGGATTTAAAAATCTCAAAAGCCTGGTTACCTGGAACTGGTGTGTGAGGATATAGCGAGCCTTCTGTTTGGAGCTTTGGAAAAATTACAAAACTAGACTGCCTTAACAGGTGAACAACTCTGTCTTTTGTGGTACTGGAGATGGCATTTGGGGCCTTGTGCTTGCTTGCTAAGCTTGCTACCACTTGAGCCACTCTGCCAGCCCATAACAACCCCGAATGTATTAAAGTACACTGAGCAGCACACTTTAAATGGGTGAATTTGATAGAATGTGAAATACACCTTTATAAAGCTATAAAGAAACCCTCAAGAACCCGCCCTACTGATTCTATCTGGCTTCAAAGTTTTGATCCCTTGCCTCAGCCTCTGTAGTGCTGAGATTACAGGTGTGTACTACCATGTCAGTTTAACAACATGTTTTAGACTATAATTTTGTTTAAAACATAGCTTAAGAAAAGGGAAAATATTTTAAGTTCATAAGACCTAACACAGTAAATGGGGGAGACAAGTGGTTAGGGCAGATTATTATAATCTTTGTAAATAATTACAAAATAAGCAATTTCTGTTCCATGCTTAAAATCTATTATCTTGGAGCTAGGTGCCAGTGGCTCACACCTATAATCGCAGCTATTTGCGAGGCTGAAATCGGGAGGATTGAGGGTCAAGGCCAGGCTGGGCAAATAGTTCTTGAGACCCCATCTCTAAAATAACCAGAGTAAAACGGACTGGAGGCGTGGCTCAAGCAGTAGAGTGACTGCTTTGTAAGCACAAAGCCCTGAGTTCAAATCCCAGCCTTAGTCCCCACCCCAAAAAAATCTGCCTTGGAAAAGCTAGCCATTGCTCCAGCTAATGTGCTGTCATGGTCACATTAGTACTTTGTGGTGTCAAAGGACGGGTCCTCCCTTCCATCTTGGGTCCCTTTCGATTTTCCCCTCCACTCTCCTGTACACACGTCAGTCCTGTGAGTTGTCTGTTGTGTCATCTCTCCCTCTCTTAATGAGTCCTTCCCATCAGCCTCCAAACACACTGGTCTTTCCCATTCTCCAGCCCCCAGCCTGGACTCTGTCCACATTCATCTCCAACAGCGCCCTCTGTTCCTTGTGGCATCACAGCCAAACTTCTTTCTAAGCTGTCTCCGTCCCTCACATCACTTCTCATTACTCTTCAAGCCACTCTGGGCTGGTTTTGTCCCCACTTTATGTCCCGAGCCCCTCTTGGTATATTGCTCATCCAGTGATCATTGTTCAGTCCTATCACTGTGTCATTCTCTCAGGTGGTTTGCACAATGAACCCTCTTCCCATCACCCTCAACCTGTCCTTTCGGGTGGCTCCTGTGAGCCTGCAGCCTTCTTGTTTCCAGTCGTTCCTGTAGACACCTTTTCCACACAGCTTTTGCACACAGAGATCCCTTGTGCTGTCTGCTTGCTATGGTCGGAATGTTTGTGTGCCCCCAAATTTATATATTGAAACCTAATCACCAAGGTGACAGTATTAGGAGGTGGGGACTAGGAGGAGGCCACATGAATGGGATTAGTGCCTTTGTGAAGGAGGCCCATGGGAGGGTACAGTGGGAGGGCGCCATCTGGGAGCATGAGGGCCTCATTAGACACTGCACCCGAAGGTGCCTTGATCTTGGATTTCCTAGCCTCCAGAACTGTGAGAAGTAACTGTTTGTTGTTTATAAGCCGCTCAGTCCCTGGTGTTTCATTATAGCAGCCTGAACAGACTAAGACATGCTCTTCTTCAGTATTTCCTCTTGAAAGAGTCACCTCCTTCTGTGGCTTTAACACTGTGCCTATGCAGATGACTTCTAAATTTATGTCTCTAATCCAGCCCTTCCTTTGACTCTGCCAGTGTCTGTCTAGTTGCCTATGTGACTTCCAATTCCACGTGTCATAGGCTTCCAACACCAGGCTTCTTACCTGCTTTCCTACCGATGGTTCATGGAGCTTTATTTTTTTTGCAGTACTAGGGTTTGAACTCAGGGCCTACACCTTGAACTACTCCACCAGCCCGTGTTTTTTGTGATGGGGTTTTTTTTCTGAGATAAGGTCTTACGTACTGTTTGCCTAGGCTGGCTTCAACCCACAATCCTCCTGATCTCTGCCTCCTGAGGAGCTATGATTAAGGGCGTGAGCCACTGGTACCCAGCTGGTTCATGAATCTTCCTAACACCTCCAGCAACAGTAAGTAGGAGTGTCTTTTACCCAGGTGCTCAAGCCGAAAACGTGGCTCCCTCTTCCTTCTCTGGTTACATTTTTCTGTAGCATTATACATTACACTTATCTAGCATCATGTCACATCCTTGACATGTCCCTGCCTGGTCCACATGATGCTCCCTTACAACTGTCCACAGCCGTTCTGTCTTCCGTGTTTTTAGGTGGGTCAGCTCCCTCCAGCCCCTGGGCTCCGGCTCACACACCCCCCTCCTGACTTCCTGCTTGGTTCACTGCTGTCATCTCCTGTATAGCACTCATCCCAACCATAATTAGAAAGTTATTTGTGTTGCTGTTTTATTCAACATATGCTTGACGTTGACCCTGCCTGGGCAGGGAGGAGGTTTCTCTGTTCACAGCTTTGTCCTAGCAAGGAAAAGGAAAGATGGTTTTTTTTCTCTTGCATTGATAAAATTCCCAGACAAGAGGGTGCCCTTGTCGCTGTGTGCATTTCCTTCTGGCATCTTCCCTGTTTGTCCTCAGTGTAGTGTGTAACGTCTAAACCAAATATTTTCATGACCCCTGCCTTTGTGCAGGGAGTATGGAGGAAGGTCTGCTTTTTAGCTTTCTGTTTCTCTTTAGTCTTCACTCCTAAAGTGTATATCTAGGCTTCTCACAGTTTCTTTGTCCTTCCTGAACCTTCCTCACACTATGGGAAAATGAAAGTTTATTCTGATTTGGGGTCATGACCTGACATTTACCGAAACTTGTGATACTAAGTCATGTTGCCAAAAAACTCAGCTGCATTTAAAATATTTTAAAATATACTTTTTTTCTAATTAGAAGAGTAATTTTACTGTTAAGAAAAACCTCAACAATGCAATAAAGGATCAATAAGAGAAAAATAGTAGACATTCCTCTCAGATTTTTTTTTACCCTGAAGTAGGAACCTATTGTATATATTTTTGTTGTGTGTTTGTTGTTTAAACCTAACTACACATTGATATTTTGATACACATTCTAAAAATGTGACTAAAACCTAACAGAGCCCAGGTTTGGGCAAGCCCCAAGTGCAAGTGAGCCTGGCCATTTCCTAGCAGGACCTGTTCCTTCTGGACACTGATGAACGACCTGGGCCTCTCACTCTGTGTGGACTTTACTCCTGCTGCTGCATGCCAGTCTTGCTCTGTCCTGGCCCTCATTGTGACAATTGCCTGACATTCTGCTCTCATTGTCAACCCCCCCCCCGCCACATCTCCAGTAGACTGTACTTAGTTCCTGAAGCCAAATTTTCTACATTTAATTCCATCCATGTTCTTGGAGCCTCTTGGACCGGTCTAATTGTCTGTGTATTTGTTGATATTAATTCTTGTCAGTTTTAATTTACGTTTTTAAAATGAAAGGCAATGGGCCTATTTATTTTGCCTTCTTCATGGACTCTTGAGGATTTGATACCCAATCCATATTGTTACTGTTCTAAATTTTTTTTAACAATGCTTCCTTGTGTAGCACAGGCTGGCCTTGAACTTGTGATCTTCCTGCCTTAACTTCCAGAATGTTGGGATTACAAGGTGTGCACTACTAGACCTGTATTTTTTTTCTGCCTAACTCACTAGAGTCCAATTAAATTGTCCTTGTATTTCATAATTCTGTCTATTCATTCAGCAAGAATTTATTTGATACTGAGTATACACTGGTGAATAAAACAGGTATAGTTCTTATTATTGTTAGTTTTTTGAATATTATGCAAATAGTTACACAAATGAATACATAATTTTGTTTTTGTTTATTTTTATTATTGTACTGGGGGTGCAATGTGACAGCTACAAAAGTTCTAACAATATATCACAGTTGAATTCACCCCCTCCATTATTCATTCTCTTTTACCTGCTTCCCTAAATACTTAATTTTAACTTGTGATAAGTGTTGTGAAGGAAAATGGCAGTACACCATGAAAGACTGCAATAGGAAGACATCGCCATTAGAGGGTGCTAGAGTGTCAGACTCCTCTGACATTTCCTATTCAAGAGATAAGGTTGAGTCCAGAAGAGAAGCTGCACCCACGGGAATAGCTCTTGGAAGAGGAAACAGTGCTTGGAAACCAGGTTTTTCCCGGTAGAATATGGTGAAGAGAAGGGGAAAATGGAAATTGTTTACTTCTTTGTTTTAGTCACTGGGTAGGATTGGGGTCTGACATAAGTTTGTATTTCAAATGCCTCCAGTGCTGCAAGCTTGGTTGCTGGCCTGAGGCACGATTGGGCAGTGGTAGAACCTTTAGGATGTGGGGGTCTCATGGAAGGGAATTAGGTCATATAGGATAATGCCCTTGAGGGGGAACGTGGTGCCCCAGCAGCTCCCGTCTGTCTCTGCTCCTTGACCACCAGGACATATGCAGCTTTGCTTTGCCTTGTGCTCCCTGCCTTGCCACACGTTCAAAGGCAGGAGTGCCAAATGACCAGGGCCTGAAACCTCTGAACCCATGAGCCAAAATTAGTCTTTCCTCCTCTTAAGGTGCTTAGCTCAGGTATCTTGTCAGAACAACAGAAAGCTGACTAACTAGTTTCTTTACACTGTGGACCTCTGAATTGTTCTTTCAAAACAGTTTTCAAAGGACACATTTAGCGCCTTCCCACCCCCAAGAGGGTATGTTGGCTTGTTTTTTAAGCAGGTCTTTTTAATCTGCTCTCTTGCCCTACTTTCACTGAAGTTTTTGCTTTTGTTTCTATGAGGCAACTGGGAAAGACACTAGCAAATCAGATTTTTTTTTTTCTTGTAGTACTGGGATTTGAACTTCAGGTCCTACACTTTGAGCCGCTCCACCAGCCCATGTTTTTTGTGAAAGGTTTCTTCCAGATAGGGTCTTTGCATACTGTTTGCCTGGGCTGGCTTTGAACTGTAATCCTCCTGATCTCTGCCTCCTGAGTAGCTAGGATTACAGGTGTGAACCACTGGTGCCCAGCCCACAAATCAGGTTTTTGCCAGCTGCCTATTTGTTCAACAAATATGAATTAAGCTTTTCCTTGGTTGCAGTTGTTGCACTGGACTCTGGGCCCCCTAAGAGACCTTGACTGACCCAGGAGTGATACACTGACAGAATGAGACCCTGAGGGAAATTAATGTCTCTGGGCATTCCTCCCCAGAAACGAAATTACCCGCTGTAGGAGTAATTCCATAACAAGGAAAGAAAAAAACCATTGACATTTGCTATGAACTGTTAGGATTTGTTTCAGAACATTTTGTCCCAGTGTTAAGAACTCATTCCTTCATTCACCTAATATTAAGAGGCTTCCCTGTGTCTAGTGCTGTTCCAGGTGCTGGGGACATAGCAGTGAATACATTAGTGGGGCACACAGACTGTGAACAAATAGATAATAAAACAGTGGGTATCAGAGGGGACATAACCACTACAGGGAAAATTAAAGGAGGGAAGGAGGGCAGAGAGAAGGTTGCTTATTGGGGTGACAGCTGTGGCAATTATTAAAACTGTGCTATTATTAAAAATAATAGATCAGGAAAGGGGTACTAAGTGATGTTTCAGTGAGGACACGAAGATGGTGGATATCTGGGGAAAGAGCACCCTGGCAGAGGGAAAGCCATGCCAAGGTCCTACTCAGGATAAGGCCTGAGATGTTTGAGGAACAGCACAGATCCAGCTGTGGCTTGAGCAAAGGGGTAGCCAGTGGGGGAATGGCTTGGGAGCCATGTGTGCACAGCTGACGTTCACATAGATAAGACTGCAGAGCGACTGTATGTTGGGTAGGAACTCTAGTGCCAGAACTCATGGTGATGAGAGGAACCAGTCAGGAAGACAGGGGAGAAGTGGCCAGCAAGGTAGGTAGAAACCAGGACTGATGGCAAGTTGCTCTCTGCCTCCCCTCCCACAGGTGTGACAATGTCCGTGTGTTTAAACTGGGCCTCTTCTCGGGCCTCTGGTGGACCCTTGCCCTCTTCTGCTGGATCAGTGACCGAGCCTTCTGTGAGCTGTTGTCCTCCTTCCACTTTCCCTACTTGCACTGCGTGTGGTAAGTTAGGCCCTGCTCCTGTGGAGTTGGCTGGGAGACAGAGGTGTATGTGCTTGGGCTGGGTGCTCCCTGAAAGGTGCACAGGTGGACTTAGGGGACAGCACAGGGCACAGAGCCAAGCATGCCTCCCTCCTCACATCTATTGTTAGATATTTCAGTGGCAACAGAAAGCATTGTAAAAAGTGGAATTGGCTCCAGGGAGCAGGTTTAGCCTGAACAAAAAGACCCAGTTGTTATACTTCAGTCTCTCACTGCTAACTCTGTAGTTAAAGCACAAAGGAGCCTGAAAATAGTCTGCAACCTGAGCTCTGGCTAGATGGGGGGAAAACAGAGGGGAGCTGGGGACAGGTGTGATGTGATGGTCCTCAGAAGGAACCTTGTCTTCCGGGTCTGAGTGGCCAGGTGAAAGCACAGGCCTCACAGGTCCTCTAGGGACAGTCTCACCTGTTCTTGTTACAGGTAGAGACAAAGACCAGAGAACTAAAATAGGTGTTCAACATCCCCTGCCTGTTTATGTAAAAACAACCTTGGAGTTGAGTAATAGGGAATTGGAGCATCTCTATTTTGGGAAGGTTAGCTAAGAGACGAGAAAAAAGAAAAAAAAGCATATTAGAAAACTGTGTGCCAACTCTACACCCAGAAAGCTGAGGGGGAAAGGGGAGTGGCTTTCCTTCTAGAACTGCTTCAGGTCCAAGCCCAGGGTAATCTTTCCTTCTCTTGTGCTCCCAGACTGCTGATCGCAAAAGATGACAAGGAGCCAGAGCAGGTGGCTCCTCTTTGGCTACCTTGTGTCCCTGGTAATTGAGAGCATGGGGGTGGGATGGTGGTGGTAGGAGTAGATTTAGGGTTGAGGACTTGGCAGCTTTGTTAGATCTAGATTTAAAAGCTTAACCTGTCTCTGCACGTGGCTTCAAGATAACCACTTTGAAAGGCTTGTCTTAAATTCCCTTGCACAAATGAACTTGAACTTGCATGTATACACCATGTGACCCAACCTATGCTAAATTTAAGTCTTGGAACATCCAGAACAGTATGCGAAAGACAAGACAAAACAAAAACAGCACATGTTGGGATCTTCAGTTGTAGATCCATTGCCTGAAATTTCTTAGATTTAACTTCAACTCATGCTAGTGAATTTATACACTTTATACATTTGAGTTAGAATTTACATATCATAAAATGCACAGATTTTAACTGTACACTTTGAGTCTGAGAAACTTACACATCCGTGTACATATGACCTCATTCAAGGTGTTGTACGGTTTTATCCGTAAAAGTCCCTTGTCATGCTAGGGATTACAGTAAAATTCAAAATTTAGATTATGTGAAAACTGACTCAAACTTATTTTGTTTCTAAATTTGATGTGCTGTCTGCTTTTTTTCAAAATTGAACCTTCTTTTCCTCCCGGTTGTAAAGTAATGTACTTATTTATTTATTTATTCTTTCGTCTGTTTATGTTTATTTATTTGTTTTTTGATATGCTTTTTTATTTTATTTATTTTATTTTTGCAGTACTGGGGTTTGAACTCAGGGCCTACATCTTGAGCCACTTTTTTTTTTTTTTGAGACAGGGTCTCTTGGAACTATTTGCCTGGGCTGGCTTTGAACCTCGATCCTGCTGATCTCTGCCTCTGAGTAGCTAGGATTACAGGTGTGAGCCACCTGTGCGTGGTGATACACTTTTTTAAATAACAAATTTAAACAACATAGTAGTATAGAAAGTGGGCATCATAGTTCTGCCCCTCCTCAGAAAAGATAATTGTTCACAGTCTGAAATACTTCCTTCCAGATTTTACAGTACTTACGCATGTATTTCTCTCCTACTTACTGATTTTTTAAAATGCTTTTTATCTTCAATTGACACATAACAATTGTACATATTTAAGGAGTATGATGTGACATTTTAATACTTGTATATAATGTGTAATGATCAGATCAAGATAATTGGCATATCTGGGCTGGCAGAGTGGCTAAAGTGGTAGAGTGCCTGCCTAGCAGGTGCAAGGTCCTGGGTTCAAACCCCAGTACTACCAAAAGATAAATAAATAAATGAATAAAAGAAGAGGAAAACAAGATAATTGGCATGTCTATTACCTCAGACATGTCATTTTTTTCTGTTGGGAACTTTCAGAATTTTCTCTAGCCTGGTGCCGGTGGCCCATGCCTGTAATCCTAGTTACTCAGGAGGCAGAGATCAGGAGGATTGCGGTTCCAAGCCAACCCAGACAAACAGTCTGTGAGACCTTATCTGGAAAGCCCATCACAAAAATAGGGTTGGTGGAGTGGCTCAAGGTATAGGCCCTGAGTTCAAACCCCAGCACTGCAAAAAAAAAAAAAATTCTGTTAACTAGCTATTTTCAAATATTCAGTTAATCATTATCAACAAACTATAGAACAATAGAAGCTATAGAACACAACAAAAATACACTAACAAAAAAAGGAAAAGAACAAGAGAAAAAGAAAAAAAAGTTTTTTCTTTCTATCCAACTGCACCCCTAAACACACATCTTTCTGTTTTTTTTTTTTTTGTTGTTGTTTTTTTAAAACAAGCTGGGTGCTGGTGTCTTATGTCTGTAATCCTAGCTACTTGTGAGGCTGAAATCAGGAGGATGGCAGTGAGGCCAACCTGGGCAAATAGTTTGTAAGACCCTATCTCTAAAATAACCAGAGCAAAGTGGATTGGAGGAGTGGCTCAAGCAGTAGAGTTCCTGCTTTGCAAGCTGAAGCCCCGAGTTCAAGTCCCAGTCCCACCTATCTATACGTGATGCAGACTAATTCGGATGCAGATTGGATACTCAGCTTCCTTCCAGTTTTTCCCTTTTGCAAACTGTGTACTAAGTGATGCTAGGCATGGCGCCTAGGGCCTCATGTGTGCTAGGCACATGCTCTGCCACTTCTGCCACCAAGCTGCACCCCTTGCCCAATTAGCACATTTTACTAAAGTCTGCAGGAGAGTGCCTTTTCCTCACACATTCACAGACACAGGATATTATTAACTCTGAAGTCTTTGTTAACCTGAATGAAAAAAAATGATTTTCTAAAATTTTCATGTTTTAAAAATCATATTGGGCATCTTTACAAATGTAAATTTGCCATGTTTCCTCTTTTTGAAGTGTGTCTTTTAATTTTCTTTGTGTTCTCCATGGGTTATTTCTATTTTACAAGTTATATTTGGCACCTACTGCCTTTCACATAGCAAGCAGCCAATCATCACTGCCTCCATAACTGTGTACCATTTATTATGCAAACCTGCAATATTTTTCAAAAGCACAAAGAACAATATATCAGGCCCCCAAAAGGCAACACCCAGCTTCTGAAATGCACTTATTAACAGGAGGCTATGTCTTATTTATACCATACCACCCACGCTTCACCCTATCCTGATTATTTTATTTTATTTTTTGATGGTACTGGCGTTTGAACTTGGTGTCGTGCTTGCTAGGCAGGTGTCAGGTGCTCTTACCACTTGAGCCACTCCACCAGCTCCATCCTGGTCATTTTAAAGCACATCCCAGACATCATTTGAAATGATGAATTTTTTTAGTGTTCTTTGCAATGGAGTTTTAGTTCTTTGTCACATAGTGCAAATGTTTCCCCTAGCTTCCTGTTTGTCTTTCTGTATATTAATAATATTTTGTGGCATTCTGGTTTTAAACTTTGGTGTTGTCACACCTGTCAGGACTTTTTTTTTTTTTTTAGGATTTCTGGACCTTGTATCATCTTAAGAAGGGCGTCCCCCACCAAAGATTGTAAAAATATATTTTGGAATTATCTATCTATCCATCATCTATCTATCTAGATGGGGCTGGGGTTTGAACTCAGGGCTTTGCACTTGCAAAGCAGGCATTCTACCACTTGAGTCTCACCTCCAGAACATTTTGCTCTGGTTATTTTGGAGATGGGAGTCTCCCAAACTATTTGTTTGTACTGGCCTTGAACCAAGATCCTCCTGATCTCAGCCTCCCAAGTAAGTAGGATTACAGGCATGAGCCACCAGGGCCCAGTCGGAATGTATTTTATTTTATATTAGGAGGTACTGGTGTTGAACTCAGGCCCTCATGCTTATTGGGCAGGTACTCTGCCACTTGAGCCACTCCACCAGCCCTGTTTCTGTGTAGGGTATTTTCAAGATAGGGTCTCGAGCTACTTGCGCAGGCTGGCCTTGAACAGTTATCTACCTGATCTCTGCCTCCTGAGTAGTGAGAATTACAGGAATGAGCCATGGGTATAAACCACTGGCATCCAGCTGGAATATACTTTAAATCTTTATTGGGAATTAAGTTTCAGTTTAGGATATAAGGAAGCCTAGGCGCCTTTAAATGATCTGTTGCTTGATCAAAATTAGTATTAAAACTTTTTATAGGCATAGTAAATGTAAATTTATTTTTTTTTGATGGTATTAGGGTTTGAATTTAGGGCCTTGCACTTGCTGGGCAGGCGCTCTTACTGCTTGAGTAGTGTGGCTCAAGTGAGAGAGTGCCTGTCTAGCAAGTGTGAGGCCCTGAGCCCTGAGTTGAGAGCCCTGAGTTGAAAACCCTGGCACCACCAAAAAAAAAGGATTTGTCTGAATGCACTGTAATTAACAAAGGCTTATTTCTGTATTTCTATTTGAGGGCATAAACTATCCAACCAGTTGTTAAAGTGAGAAGGCAGGATCCACTCCTGCGTGTTCACTCATTTCCATTTTGATACGTTGCTTTAAATCTTTTGGCCACACACAGTGTTCTTGGTAGAGCCCCAAAGCATTTATGTCTTTGTTCCAGTTATCAGGTGGGACTCTTTTAGAACATTCTAAGACTGGGCTCAAATTGCTCAGGATTTATGGTCCTCCTGCTACCCAGAAATTGGTGGCCATCTCCATACCTTTCTAATTGTAAGCGGCCCTGACCTCTGGTTGTAACAGGAGCTGGGTGGGTTAGCCTGGAGAGGGTTGGGGGACTGGGGGGGGGGGGGGGGGGGGAGGCGGTGGTGGTGATCAGGGAAACTGCAGGCAGCAGTGTCTTCGCTTGGGTCAGGACAGCTCTCACCTCTGTTTCTGTTGCAGGCACATCCTCATCTGCCTTGCAGCCTACCTGGGCTGTGTGTGCTTTGCCTACTTTGATGCTGCCTCAGAGATCCCTGAGCAAGGCCCGGTCATCAAATTCTGGCCCAGTGAGAAGTGGGCCTTCATCGGTGTCCCCTATGTGTCCCTCCTGTGTGCCCACAAGAAGTCACCAGTCAAGATCACATGACGGCAAGGCAGAGAGGCTGGCTTCTCTGCTTATTTTCTCCTTCGTGCACAGGGCTTCATTTGCTAGCAAAGACAGCCAAGGGTTTGAAGAATTGGTGTGGGGTGTGTCTTTTTAAAATTCTCTTCCCTTGTGCTCTCACTAGGGTATCTGTGAACTGCCAGGATTCCACTATTCCTGGGAGAAGTGTCTGTCTTTTCTCAAAGACAGAACGTAGAGGGCTTGAGACAGGAGTAGTTTTCTGAGTTGCTTCCAGGTGTACTGGCTTGTGGGGCTGCATCCTTTGTTTCCATGGCAGAGCAGTCTGGGGCTCTGGCCCCAGAGCAGCCCAGTGCCTCATCCTGGAGAAGGGTGGCCTCTTCAGACCCCACCATTCCCAGTTCTTTCGAGTGGACTCTACTCTTGATAGACAGCCCCTCTGACAGACAAGACTCTGATTCTCTAATGGAAGGTGCCAGAAATTTTTCATTGGGGAAAACACTCCTCAATAAAACCAAACAAATGAAACACATGTAGGGTGGCTAAGGAGGCTGGTTTTCACTCACATGTCTCAGCTAACCCAGTCTTCCCATGCATGTGTGAATCCTTTACTACTACCTCTGCTGAGAGAGGGAGACTTAACTTCACAGAGGGCGAAGCTGGTGAGTAAAACCCTCTGGGCCAAAAACTACACTCCATTCTTGAAGATAAGTACAACTTCTTAAACTGTTGACATGGTTTCTATCCCACTTCCCCCAGCTCAGTAGCCTCAAATATAACTGGCCCCTGTAAGATTACCAAAGAACTCTCTTCAATTGTGGTGGGGGTCTTGGTTGGAATTTTGGAGCAAATACACAGTTTCTGAAACTTTTTCTAATTTGAGGCCTCCCAGAATGCAACACTGTTCCAGAAATTACCCTGAGAATCTCGCTTCTTATTTCTCTGCCATTTCGGGTGGGGATTCTGCTTCATACTCTCACAGTACCAGGTGCTTCCTGTGGTTTCTTAGAGCATCTGACTGCTGGCTTTTTTCACATGCTGGCAATCACTACACACTGATTGGCTGGGGTCACTGGTAGTGGGGTCAATCTGTGGCCTTCTGGGTTTTTCTCACCTAATGTGACACAGGCTACAATAATCTCTCCACTGGGCTAAATGGCAGGCTTCAAGACTGTCCTCAGGGTAGGAGGGCTAGGAACTATGGATCTCAGGGAACTCACTGTAACTCAGGCATCTCCTGCTTTGTAACATTCCATTGTGGGGAGAGGGCAGGAAAGACGATGGACAGGCATCATGTCACTGTCCTAAATATTTAAAGAGAACAGTTTCTAGCATATTCAGGAACTCTTATTCTGATTAAGATTTGTACAAGATCCAGAGTGAAAGGCCAATAAGCAACTTTAATTTAGAATTTAAAAATGAATGAGTTTATTCCTTGATGGTTTTCATGTTATTTTAGCAGCAGAAACCTGTTTGTAGTAAGAAGTGTTTATGGAACCCCAATGTGTAAAATAAGTTGCATTTTATCAAATGTGTCTTCAGGTTAAATTTATAGCATTTACTTAATAATATATCAGGTTGTGAAGATGGAAATTAAAACAAATTGGTGACTTGCAAGATAGAAAAATTTGATATTAAATCAGTGTACATGTTGCCTTACTGTATTTTTAAGGTACATTTAAAATGATTTTGAATTGAATGTTTGTGGAACCTCTAATGTACCTCTCTGAGACCTGTGGTTCATGGAGTAGAACTGCTGTTAAGTCTTCTGGGTTTCAGTCTAAAATTTTTTAAAGGAAAATGGAGCATGCTCTTTTCTGGTTGACCGTACCAGGCATGCATGCTAGCCTCATCTATGCCTCAGTATAAAAATGCTCTAAAGGAGAAGTTTGCTATACTTTAAGCTCAACTGTTTTAGTATGGAAGCATGGATAAGAAAAAGTAGAATGTAGGAAATATTTTTTTGTGTGTTTGCAAGATTTAATTTGTCCTGAAGATTCCTTGGTGACAGGAGCATTGTACTAACAGTCAAAAAGGGACCATTTGTCTTTATCAGGAAAAGTACTTATTCCCTGGGGGGTCTGCTGACACCCCCGATGCCAGCCCCTGGAAGGAGGGATAAAATGTTACTGATGGGTACATTGAATAAGCCTGGAGAAAAGGAAGTAAGTGTCCTGACACACAGGGCAGTTCCCTCTGCAGTAAGACAAATGATTAAGATGTCAGAGGTTTTGATAGAAAAGCAGTATGCCCTTCTAGAAACTGGTTCCAAAAAGATGAGAGCTGGGGAAAAAAAAGTTGAATGGAGTATATTTGAGGAGGACAAAACAAAACTCTACTTTTGAACAGAAATAACTATGGCTTGCCAGCATAAATTAGGAGAGTAGAAATTACTGATTTTAATTTCAGTTAGGTTAAGGCATCATTCAGATTGATATCAAAGCACTACCTGATCTTTAAAACAAACATACAAACTACAGAAAAGTTGTAGAAGAAAAAAGGTAACCCATATTTCTCTTGCCCGAGAATGTCCATTGTGAATACTTTGGTATTTGGGTGTATTTCCTCATTTCCTTCTCATCTTTTTCCTAATGTAGTTATAAATAGGCGCCTTTAATGTCGATGGTTTATCGTGTAACTTGAATGGAATCTGAGCACCAGTTGTGTGTACTTCACAAGGAGCAAGTATGGAATGCACTAGAGTTTGGCTGTATACTTGAGTGCTGATCACTGGCTCTCAGACTTACTACTGGATCTTCCCTTTCTATCAAGCCTCACATGAATGGGGCTTAGAGATAATGAACTGAATGCTACTCTTTGACACTGTTTCTGCACTTAGATTAACAAGTTACAGAATACAGGTGTTCAATATGTAACTTCATAGATTTAGATGTGTTCAAATTTTTTTTTAAATAAAGCCTATTTCATTAATGTACAATCAAGAATTTCCATCCCTCCCAGTAGACTTGACATTTAGGAGTTGGGTCATGGCTATGTCACTTAGCATGTTCATCAGATTTTGTTCTGGATAGAATCTGTGTGAGAGCTATACCCAGCAGGAACTGAATTTAGGATAGAAAACCCATTGATGTGATCATTTCCATCTGTGATTCTTGTTTTATAGTGTTTGATGAATATTAGAAAAAGAAATACTTCTCCCTTTATGATTACATTATTATAAAACAAGCACTTCAGGTGTGTGGGAGTGACAAATCTGCATCCATTTGGTAATGGGCTACAATTTTGGGAACTCTGTGCCTGTCCAATGAAGAGTGCCTAAAACATTTATTCTAGATCAAAGATGTTCTGTTGGGGGACAAAGCTTGATGGTCACCGAACACAGGCTTTGTAAAAATACTGCCACCTATTCTGTTTAATGTTCTCAGGTGTGTAAAAACTCTCACCAGTTCCTTCTGCTTCCCTGAGCCAGGGCCATGGTGAAGGCTCTGGGATTGGGCATTGAGCCTTCCCTGACTTTATCCCTTGGCCTGACTTGGAGCTGTCTCTGGATGTAGCTTGCACAGCCAGGGCCCTTGTCCTAGATTCTTCTCCCCAGCTGGGCTTGAAGCCTTCCTAGCTAGGGCTTGACCTGCGTGCTATTGCTTCAGCTGGTCAGAGAGACATCTTGGACCAGGCTGGGATGCTCAATGGATTTTATAGACATCAGCCTCCTTCAGACTTTAAAAACATGGTCCCTCCTCTAAAGGACTGGTCGTTGTGTCTTTCTCTACATGTTAAACCATATTGAAAGGACATTTTATAGCCACAATATGTCATCAGAGAAAGAGTATTTCCAGACCCGTGCCTTGTTTTCTACTTCATGTGTGCTGTGTAAGGGTGGCGTGCCCACTGGCTGATGCAGCACTAATCTCCATTGCTTTGGGGGTAGTTCAAGGCCTTTTGAAATGGAGCTTTTGCACTTTATGCTTTTTTTGTGAACTGACTATGGTAGCTATGTTTAATAGTGAAGCCGGAAATGACATTTTCTGTGAATAAATATGTATCTACATTTGTATCTATCTCCAAAATGATTTCTGAAGTCAATTTCATGGACTGTAGAGCAAAGCACATTTGCTAATAAACTTGGGTACCTTTGTTACTAAATCAGTGTAGTCATTGTTGCTTTCTTCTCAGAGCTGTGAAATGAATACATTTAAATATCTGTAACCCAAAGAACCAAACAGCAGTTTGCTATTGCAAGTTCTAAATTATGTCAAATGGATATAAAATCTCAAATATAGGTAATAGTTCATTTGTGCTTGGTTTCATCCTGTCACTCAAAGATAGGTCTTGTGGCATTTCATAAAGTAAATGACTTTAGCAGGAGAATCTATTTCTACTTATTTTTCTTAGTTTCATGTGACAGTTTTTGTTGTTAAAGGATTCTTTGGTCATCAGATTTAAAGGACTAAGATGATCACTAATGAAGAATGGGGTAAGCATTACCAGTAAGGATACAGTGGTTCTTTTATACTTTATTTTTGGTTGGTGTGAAGGGACAAGGGGTAACTCTGAAGCCCTGTGACAGCTGGTGAAGCTGGCTCTTCTCTTGAGGACAGCACCCATGCATATGATTTCTTGAGGGTTCAGATGTCCCTAGCTGCCTCCCCCAGGTTATGGAGGCAGGACTAAGGAAGGATTTGAATTCTTTCTGGTGCTAAAATTGGTTCCTTAATTCTAAGGTTGGAATCCATAGCTTATTTTGAGGCTTTGGTCAGACAGTGGCTGAGGAGATCTAAGGCTCTGTTTGGGGAGACAGAGCAGAGTATCACCCTGGCACACACTATAGCCTGACATTGTCATCTCCTCCTTGTGGGTGTTGTCTTGTCCTCTTCAATTTCCACAGTCCCTCTTTCCTGACTGACTTGAAAGACCAGTGCTAGGATTCCAGACTCCTTGACTCTTTCTCTCTTTTTTTTTTTTTGGTGGGACTGGGATTTGAACTCAGGACTTCACACTCACCAAGCAGGCACTCTACTTCTTGAGCCACACTTCTAGTCCATTTTGCTCTGGTTATTTTGGAGATGGGTCTTTTGAACTGTTTGCCTGGGCTGACCTTGAACCTCGATCTTCCTGATCTCAGCCTCCCAAGTAGCAAGGATTACAGGCATGAACCACTAATGCCCAGCTCTGACTCTTCTCTTTAAGGACTTTACATTAAAAAAACTATATATTACATTAAAAGATTATAATACATTGAGGTTCTTCATGGGTGTATATGCAAATGAAATGAAATCAATAGAAGAGACACCTGTACTCTCATCTTTATGGCAGCAGTATTCGTAAAAACTGAAGTAGGGAATCAACGAAAGTGCCCACTGTCATAAGAATGGATAAAATAAATCTGGTAATATATACACTGGAATATTATTCAACCATAAAAAGAATGAAATCCTGTTATTTGTGGCAATGTTGATGGAACTGAAGAACATTATGGTAAGTGAAACAAACCAGGCTCAAAAAGACAAATACCACATGTTCCCACAAATGGAAGCTAGCAAAAACTGATCCCACAGAAGCAGAGTAGAATAGTGGTCACTAGTCATCATCTTGCCCCAGAAACCCAAGTAACTGTGACTGCACCCATCCTCTGTCCCCTCTTCTGTGTGCTGGCAATCCCCTCCTATTTTCTTTGTCTTGAGTGGCACTTCTGTCTCTATTTCCACCCTGATGACATTCAGTTTACCTGGGAAGTCTTCTCTCTGAACATTAACTCACAAAAAGAAAAAAACATCAACTTCACATGGGTTTTTGTTCATTTTGATTCATCTGCTTTTGCAATTGAGAGCAGAGACCATAACACTATTTATAAAATGTACAAAAAAAAAAATAGAATGTAACAAATAGAACTGGTAGGATTTATTTTTACATTAGGGTTGGTGATGGGAAGGAAATGGCTGAAGGCTGACGTTGCAGTGGCTCAAGCAATAAAAGTGTCTGCCTTGCAAGTGTGAGGCCCTGAGTTCAAACTCCAGTGCCACCAAAAAAGCCAAAATATTAAATATAAATATTAAAACAAATATTAATATTAAAACAAAACAAAAACAACAAAAATTAAAAGGGCTGATGAGTAGCTAAAGTGGTAGAGTGCCTAGCAAATGTGAAGACCTGAGTTCAAGCCCCAGTACTGCCAAAAATACCCAGTCAAGCATCCAAACAACAACAAAAAAGCGCCGAGGCACTGATGATTGTTTCCTGTGAACAAAGCAAGCCATGGCCGCCTTGGGTGGGAGGGATGGGGAGAAACACCTGGAGCAATATCGCCATCTTGTGGTCTTTTGGGGGTATTTCTATCAATGGCCTCTGTGAAGTGGTTCCCAGGTTGTCATCCCAGAACTCACTATAATTGTCTCAAAACTCCTGCAAATTTTGCAAGCATTTTCTGGACCCCAGTACATTTCTTTGAATTGTTTTTAAAGCATATCTATCCTTTTCCTTTTCTTGGCAATTCACTCAGCAAGTGCATTCCTGCGTGTACAAACAACTTAACAGATGTGATCTAGAGGAAGTTTTTATCCACTGGGTCTAGATTTAAATTTTGAGGCCAATAGCTTTTACACAAGTCAAATGCCCAAATCTCATTAAGACTGAACACAGTTTATCTTTTGGAATTTTTGGGGGTTTGAACTCAGGACTTTGTGGTGGTTTGCAGGAGTTTTATTGCTTGAAACACACTTCTAGCCCTTTTTGCTTTGGTTATTTTTGAGATACAGTTTCACTTTTTGCTTGGGATGGCCTGCACTGTGATCCTCTGGATCTCAGCCTCCCAAGTAGCTAGGATTACAGGCATGAGTCATTGGTGCCCCACTTCCATTTTATTTTTTATTTTGCAATGCTGGGGATGGAGCCCAGGTCTTCTCACTGCTTCCAGGACCAGTACACCTAATCTGAGAGCCTTCATGAGATGTGCATGGTCTTCGTCTTGACCACCCTTCTTTCTGGCCTTGTCTTGAACTCCTTTGCCCCTTTCCCTACCCTGTATTGTTCGGCACTGTGTGGTTCCACCTGCTCTTCCATGTGGTCTTAGGGCCTGTGTTAGATGTCCATTGCTGTGAAACAAAGAACCCTAAACTAAATGGCTTTAAACAATAGGAATTATCCCCTCACAGTTCAGGAGTACAGAAGTTTGGAAATAAGGTGTCCTCAGTTTTGAACTTTCTGGAGGGCCAGAGGGGAACCCACACTACGTCCCTCTTCTGGCTTCTAGTGGCCGCTGGCACTGCTTGCTTCTTGCCTGGTAGCATCTCTCCATTTCTGTCTCCACTGTCACGTGGCGTCTTTCCTGCATGTTCTGCCCTTGTGCCTATATCTCCCTCTTTATCTTTTAGAGATACCAGACATTGGGGAAAAAAAATTTTGTTTTCAGTACTGGGGTTTGAACTCAGGGCCTCCAGCTAGCACTGTACCACTTGATCCACACTCCAGACCCCGTGCCAAATCTACAGTGGTCTCAGGTTAATTACATCTGCAAAGGCTCCATTTCCAAACAAAGCCGCATTTGGAGGTTCTGGGTGAATGCAAATTGGGGGTGTGGGGTGGCTTTTTGAATCATTACAGTGTTGCTCCCTGTATCTGTCAGGAATGTGGGATCCTTGAGTTGTGCAGCCTTGAGTTGGGGACCGGGACCCAGCTGGGCTTCCACAGCAGTAGAAGGTTGGAGCTGAGGGGGTCTGAGGGATATTTAGCCTAGCACCTTCCCCTTCCCTCTGAAAAGCATTTGAGAACCTGAGGTCCAGGGCCTGAAGCATCTTCCAGGACCTCAGAGCTCACATGAGGTGGAAGCAAAACCAGATCCAGTCTCTGAGTTCGAGTCCAGGGCATTTGTGCTCCACGGGCAGCCTAGGAGTTCAGGATTAACATGCGTTCTCCTTAGAGGACACATGCATAAGCTATATGAGTGGCTGCATTATTGCGGGAAATTACGAGCTGAGTTAGGAGTCTCTGAGGCAGATTAGCAGGAAGCAACATTTATTGTGCTGGCACAGACCCAGCGGACTCGTGTCCAAAGGCTGAGCCCCGAGAACAAAGGGGTCTCACCTTGGATGTACCCTTGCAAGCAGGTACAGAGGCAAAAAGGAAAGCTCAACCCACATGTGGCTGCATGTGACTCCATTGGCTATTTCATTTCCCCAGTGCTTTGTGACCTTCATGTTTCAATTCTTTAAGTTTTATCTCTCTGCTTTGCCATCCCCTCCCCCTGTCTCCTTGTCAGAACACAGCCTGTCTGTTTCTTTTGTGGCCTCCACTGTCTTGCTACATTGACAGATCACCAGAATTTAATGATTTGATGCAAAAATAAGCATTTACTGTCACTCTTTCTGTGAGTTAGACATTTGGGAGTGGCTTGGCTAGGTAGTTCTGGCTTGTGCTGGGTGTTAGTTTTTCATGACAAATACCTGAGAAAAGCGACATAGGAGAGATTGATTTTGGCTCCGGGTTTCAGTCCGTGCTCAGCTGGTTCCATTGTTCTGGGCCTGTGGCGAGGCAGAGCATCATGGCGGAAGGATGTGGCAGTGCAGGGCTGTTTTGGTTCCACACCCCTGTTGTCCTGGGGTGACTCTCAAGGTTCCAAGGAACATTGTTTGGAAAACACAGAACCGACTGAGCCCCCAAATTCTGCCTGGAAGTGACTGTTTATGACCCCTGAGGCTGAGCTGGGAGACAGGTCAGCCCAATGCAAAGAGCCATGTGAGTCTCCTGAGGCCCCCGGCTCCATCCCGCAGCAAAGGGGACCCTTAGCCCACATCTCACATCAGTGACCTCAAGACTCTCCCTTTTGCACTCTGGACTCCCTGGGTCCTCGAATTACCCTGAAGGCCTCTAAAGCAACAGCAGCATGTCACATTGCATTTTGCTGGTCCTGCAGGATTGAAGATGTCAGCTTCCTCCAGCCAGCTAAGCCACCAGTGAAAGACCGTGCCATGGATCAAGCAATAGGGACCAAAATATTTACCCACCATCGGAGAATTTTACATCTCGGAGCCACTGTTTGTTACCCTCACTAATAGTGAAATTCACTGGGTGAATAAGGACTGCCTAAGTGGGGAATGACTGTTCCTGAAGTTTCTGCCTCAATACTCAGCGGGGTGTAGTGTTTTATTCACTGAGGTGTAAGAACTTTTGGTAAGAAACTTGGAATAGAGTTTT